GGACGGAATTTTTTACAAGAATCAACTATTGCCAATAGTTCTTTTTCAATAACGCTGTAATTGCGTTCAGCAGAATTTAATGTTCGAGAGTGGAAAGCAATAGGCTTATCATTTTGACTAAGAACTCCTGATAGGGCTATATTGCTACAATCAGTTGTCAATGTAAATTTTTTGGAAAAATCAGGATAAGCCAGAATAGGTGGGTTACAAAGAGCTTCTTTACAAAGTTTAAATGCATTGATATAATCTGGATTATTGATATTGATTTTTTCATCTTTACGTAAACATTTTGTGAATGGCTTAGTCAATTGTGCAAATCCTTTAATAAATTTACGATAATAGTTCATAAGGCCTAAAAATGACTGGATTTCTTTAATCGTAGTCGGGAGAGGATATTCTTGAATTACTTTGATTTTATCTGGGTTTGGAAGTATGCCTTGTGGCGTGATGACATGACCTAAGAATGGAACATCTTTTCTCAGGAACTCAGATTTGTCCAATTGGATTTTTAGATTAAACTGATTCAGTTTTTGGAATATTTTTCGAAGATGCAAAATGTGTTCGTCTAGGGATTTTGAAAAAACAATGATATCATCCATATAGACAAAACAAAAAACGTTGATATATTCTAACAATACAGTATTCATCATACGTTGAAAGGTAGCAGGGGCATTTTTTAACCCAAATGGCATACGGACATATTCATAGTGGCCATTTTCAACAGTAAAAGCCGTTTTTTCTATAGACTCAGGATCCATAGGGATCTGGTGGAACCCTTGTGCCAAATCAATAGTAGAAAAATACATGCTTTTGCCTAAATTTTCCAAAATTTCTTCAATTAGTGGGAGTGGAAATTTATCTTCAATTGTTATTTCATTCAGTTTTCTGAAATCAATAACCATCCTATATTTTTTAACACCGGATGCATCCATTTTCTTAGGAACTATCCAGCAGGGTGATTGATAGGGTGAATTGCTTTGTCGAATGATTCCATCATTCAATAACTTGGAAACTTGATTTTGGATTTCCTTTTTGAGATGATAAGGATATCGATAATTTTTTACATAAATTGGGTCTTCATTTTTTAACCTAATTTTGTGTGCAGTGGCATTACAGGGAGTTAATGGTTCGTTAGGCTTGAAAAATACCTGTTTGAATTGCTTGCAGAGCTTAATAATCTTTTCTTTTTCTTCACTATTCATATGAGACGTACGAATTAAATTTTCAACACGTATATTGGATTTTTCAGTGGAAAATGGAGATTCTTTTTCAATTAGAAAATCATCAAGAGGTTCAGATAAAAATGGGTTGGAAACATCAAGAAGATTTATGTCAATTGGATATTGAATAGCATTATTTTCTACGTTACAGATACATTCAGGAAAATATTCGTCAGAATTTTTGAATTTCAAAGGTGGAATAACAACAGAACCATTATCCAAATTTCGGATAATTAATGATTTTTTCGGGTAACTATACTGAACTGGATTGTTTTCTCGAATTGGCTTAAAAGAAGTGTTATAAGTAATTTTACATTTATCAGTAATAATCTGATGTTTAGTCAAATCAATAGAGCAATTAAGCTTTTGTAAATCATAGAATCCTAATAAGCAGTCATAACGTGAATGCCAAGGAAGAATTAAAAATTCAATTTCAGTTTTATTCTTCCATTCAGAAAATATGGGAATTTTACAAGCATATTGACCTCTAAAATTGGACGTACATGAATTAATTTCAAAAGGATGGTCATAAATACGATCTGGAAAATATTTAAAAGCAATTTCTGGATTGATCAGGGAGGATGATGCACCAGTATCGATTAAGATGATAAGATTAAACTGAGAACAAAAAATATACGGAAGGTGGGTTTTTTGATAATTATTTATATCTAAGTCAAATTTTGAGACTGGCTCGTCGAAGGAAAATTTTCTTCGTCATTGTTTTCAAAATAAGATTCATCGGGGATATAGTCTGAATCGAAATCTTGGGTATATTCCTCAGATTCATATTGTGGCGTTCCTGCAAAAGTTTGTTCTTCCTCATTTTCAAGATGAGTAATTTCTTCGACATAATAATGGTTTGGTTTGGGACCTACTTGAAAGGCATTAACTCTAGTGGGCATTTGTTGACGATATGGGTTTTGCTGGGGTTTCGGTGTGCGTGCTGTAGATACAGACATAGGTATAGGATTACTTTTTTGTTGACCTGGAATGGGTTTTTTGGAAAAAACATTCTGTGGTGGTCTGAAAGCTTGAATGTTTGTAGGATAATGAGGTTTAAAATTTTGTTTAGGTGGTGGTAGTTGCGTGGGACCTGTAGGGAAGGTTTGTTGTGGCTCTAGCCAAGTTTGACTATTTTGGGCTCTAAACTGATTGGGCTTTTGAGAAAAATTAAAATTAGACCTTTGGAAATTTTGATTTGAAGCTTGTACTTTATTCTGAGACTGAGGCTGTTGTCGTTTATATAGGCTCGTTCTTAAGAAATTTTTATAATCAACTTGCATTTGCAAATTATCATAATCACGACAATATTGAACACAAGAATCAATTGTAGTAGGATTTTGCTGTCTTACATAAGACCTATATGGTTCATTCAAACCAGAGATAAAGGAGCTCAAAGACTGTCTATCATAGTCTCTCAATTTAAAAGCGATATGATCGGGATTATCATGGTATTCTAAATTTGCAAATTCTTTCAGGCTCTGTACCTTAAATTTAATTTCTTGATAAAAATCTTCATATTTTTGGTTAGGTTTCTGAACTGACGTATATAAGGCGGTGAGAAGAGTTTCTTCATTTCTAGGATCTTTATATTTGGATAATAATAATGATTTTAAATCTGGCCAGGTTCTCGGACTAGTTAGATGCACTAAATCTCTTACTTCGCTTTTCAGCTGAGAAATAACGTATTGGAAAGCATACGAAACAAAAGGTGTATTAACAAATTCTGCAATAAACTTTTCTGAATTATCCAAAAAATAAATTAGATCTCTGTGACCTCCATGATATTCTGGTACCATATATTTAGCTACATTGAATTTAATTTGTAAATCTTGAAGAGACATGGTTAACTGATTAAAATTAAGACGTGAGGGTGTCAAAATAACTTGTCTAACAGGTGTATTTTCGACTACAGATTCAAATTCAGAATCGGACATTAAATATATGCAATTAAAGTCACTAAATAAGTTTACTTATAGATAACTTTTACGAGTATATATAGATGTAAAGCAATAGAGGGCGAAAAAGTTTCGAGAAATAAATGGAAATATCACTGAGTACAGCAAAAATTGTAAATGTTGTTTCTTACGCTACACTGGGCACTAGCAGCTTCATTTGGAGAGATCTGAGATACCTCCTTGGGCCAATACAGCTCCTCCTGGTTGACAGCTTGCCTGCCGTGGATCCAGCACCTCGCTCCTGTCAGTTCCTGTCGTTTTCTCAAGTGTCGTTGCCTGCTCCCAAAATACTTAGCAAGTATTTCGGCCTGGTACTTCGATGGTGATGTGCCTGCTCGGTGTAGCCTTCGAAGTTCTTTGTGATCGACGTCAAAACGATTGAAATCGTACCCGAACACACCGGACGATTTTTTGCACTTTTTCGGTCTCGATTGAGCGATACTCGTGAATCAATACCGCCGATTATCGATTCGGTACGCCGATATCCTGTTCGCAGCGCCAATTAAGAATGTGCAAACAACGAACGACTTTTTAAAAAAGCGACTTTATTTAACAGAAGACGAATGAGTACTGGTCACCTTGGTTTACATGCATCTCTTACTTATAACCTACGCTAGAACAAAGGAATCGAAAAGTGCAAACCTAAGCAACTCTACATATTAGATCATCATCATAGCAGTGCCGTAATTTGCATGAACCATATCACTGGTCGTATAGTTCCTCGTGATAGTGAGAATTGGCCCTCTAGACCTGTACATGGGATTCTTACTGCCTAAGTTGGATATTGATGTGAACAACAAGATGGCAAAGGAATACAGTTGCTGCATGAAATATTTCCTGATCGCGTGTTCTCTCGATTCGATTATGACAGTTGCCTCCTCAGCATTCCTTTTTTTATAGGAGCACTTGGAGTGAAAGCAGTATGCGAAGAATCTCAAAGACACATGTGTGCAAACTGTACCCTATGTTAAATTCAAACTTTACGTGAGTTTTGGTACACATTTTGTAAATATAGTTGTCATCCTGCAAGATGAATTTCACAGCCTACTAGCCGAAAGGAGGGATCAACTTAATGGTAACCAGGTATTTGCCAGACAAGTTAAGAAACCCTTTACTTCCAAGTAAGTCTGATATTGATACTTCTTATTAGCAGTGCGATGAAGCAAAGAACCGTCTTGATTGACGAGACTTTTGATTTAAAAAACGCGCTGATATCGGTTCATGTGTTTGGGACTTTTTGAGTAGAGGGTTAATCATTATACAGAAAAATGGGTCTAACATTTGAACTTCTGTAACCATTTGCATTTGAAAGCCGAATTTGGGCACATTCGCTTTGTGTTCCTCACCCCCACGTTCATCCTACCTTATAATCGGATAAACCGTATTTATCAAGCATAGCTAAAAATCGTCTCGATTAACAGGACTTTTGATTAAAGCAAACGCACTCAAGTCTATATACAAAAGTGTACAGGTACACGTTAAACTTAAAACACCGTTCATTTTTTTGTCGGGTGTCAATAAATAGAACCAAAACGGCATAAACTTTTTATGATTTAATTCATACCGGCGAGGAAGCGGTTATTTTATATTTTGCAATCTTCATTAGAAATGCCATATCATGGTGTGAACTTTTTCAAATATTAACTAGCCGCCATATTGAATTCAACAACTATTTTCTAAACCGATATCAGTTCCTCCTTTTTGAAAACAAATGAAATCTTGTGGTAAGTAGGTTTTGAAAGCGGATACATTGGGGTAATTCAGAAGTGAGGCACTGCACTTCCTAAGGTAGAAATCATATAGTTGTTTTATCTGTATTTGTCAATTTCTAAAAGTATACATGTCAATCAGTTAAGATGTGTCATACACATTATGTACCTCCGTTGTATATTTTTGTATATACCAACAGATTATGTGCTAGTGAAGGTTCTTCCTGGTCAGCTTAGAAGGTTTAGGGCTTTTTCACTAGGCAAACTGGTTTTCCAAATACCTGACAAGTGAATCCCTAAATATGTTAGCATCTTCAAGAGAACATCGAAGCACTTGTTTTTCTCAGCTACAAGATAGGGCACAACAATCACTGTTTATAGACATACCGTCAAATCTTTTCCTGCACATGTTAACATACTCAGTTAGAGAAACACGTCTTAGATATTTAAAAAGTCCGGCTTAGTCAGTTTTAAGACTCTGTAGTAATCATAGTCGTTATGACCAACAATGCAACATGACATATTACACGAGATAAAGAAAAGAAGTGGCCTGGTTTATCTCACGAGTCAAAAACAAAAGTCAACCAGATTACCTGTTAATGTAATAACGTGAATGGTAATTTTTCACGGCGCATTCATTACTCAGGCAGTAAATATTGAATATACACATTCACCTTTTTTTTAGTGTACATGAATGCATATTTTTGGTGCGTTTCAAAACTGGCCGCTATGCGCGTTATCCACTAATAGGAGAGAAAGCGTCTTTGTAATCACAATACAAAACAGTTTTCTTTTTCTCCAAATTGCATTTCTGTAATTTAGAGCCAGACTAGGTTAAGTCTATATCTATTTGCAATTTATTATGTCTTGTTCATGATAATATTGTGAATTACTTGTAGTGTCTACTTACCTGTAATAACAAGGAAGTTACGGCTTTATAAATTATGTTAAGTCGTAAGAAAAATACTTTAAATGTAATTATCCCAAAGCTATTAACTTGTACTTAATCTTGTCTGACCCTGAGGTACAGATTTGATATGGGGACACGACATCCTCTTTTTACTTTCCTATATTTATTACACTTAAAAATCCCTTCTATTTTTTGGCTTATGATAAGCATAGCAGTGAAACAAATTTGCACTCTAGTCGTATTAGAAAAATTGCTCTAGTTTATGACTAACATTATTACAAAGAAGAGATGATCGGAGTACATAATACTTAGTACTAGAGTTTCTTTAAGCTCATTATGGCAGCCGCGGTGCCATGACATTTAGGCTTCTGCTAGCGCGGCAGCTTCCATATAAAAAAGCTACAAAGTAGTGAACTAGCAAGTAACATAGGATTTATAGCAGTATAGTTTACACACAGCTCCACCTATCAACACACTTTGAAGCTATTTACTGAAGGAGGTACCACCCGGCTGATGTCGTAGACGGGGCCAGAATGTGTGCATGCAGCATGTACTCGCTACCTTACCCCTGTATTCCCCTGCCGCCCAACAGTACCCCATGGGTGTCTAGTATGCTAGGCCGAGAAAACGTTTTTTTTTAAGAACTTTTAATTTCTTTTTGGAATAGAGCGCTGCCCCCTACCAGAACTCAAAATTAAAAAAAAGCTAAGATTGAAATTTTGAATACTGTTTTGGAATAGCAAACAAGAGTTTCCTTTTCTTATTTCGGTCAAAATATCTATCTACAGTATTTTTATTGCATCAAGTCTTCTACCCCTAACGAGCCTTGCATATGCTATAACCTTGTATCCACCATTCTAGATGTTCCTTTCTTATGCAAGTGAACATTCAAAGTAAAGTTTTTGATAATCTGTCTGCTTTTAGTGGCAAATTATAATACTTTGTGAATTTTGGATTCAGGAAGTAGCTTAGGTTGGATAAACGTATTTTTGTATCGGTTGACGAGTCTATGACTTTTCAGAGTTTGATTAAAAAGTTTCTCAAAATTGTGTTACACAAGACGAGATACCGAGTGTCCTTTAGTTGTATCTCCGGCAGATTTCATAGATACTATTCTTCCTACACAAAAAGAGGATCTGAAGTGCTATTTATGGATAATGTAACCCTAAAACCACCACATTATGGAAAAGAGCTAACAGTTTCAGGATTTTCCAGGAAACTGGATCCTTTCGATCGTATCAACATGCACCGTTGTATTTGATGCCTAGACAACAGAGGCATACTCCAAAACAGGTCGGACCAGTGAATTGTGCAAAATTATTATAGTTTCCCTCAAGTGCACTGTATTCCTTATCACAAAACCCAGGATCCTATATGCTTTGTTTACAATAGTTTCATAATGCTGGTTAAATTTTAGGTTAGTCTGAAACCAGACCCCAAGATCTTTACATTAACTTTTCCTACTTAGCAATAATTTATCAATTTTGTAATTAAAATCTATAAACTGCGCTTTTTGTGTAAAAGTTAAACTATGACATTTAGTAAGATTCAACGACATTTTATTCTCCTTGAACCACTGGGACACTGAACTTAAATCAATTTGCATCTCAATACTATCTTGAAGGCAAGTTATATGCTCGTATATTTTAAAATCATCAGCAAATATGAGAGATTTGGCATATTTTACACAGTTCGGCAAATCATACAGAAAAATTATAAATAACAGAGGCCCAAGACTACTGCCCTGGGGTATCCCAGATGTTATTATGTTCATCTTTGATAAATGCTTACCAACTTTAATCTGCGGCGGCCTTAAAGTTAGGTATGATGCCATAAGCTCACATGCACTTTTTGAGAACCCAGATTTACCCAACTTGATCAACCCGATCAAAGGCTTTCGCACAATCTGTCAAAACAACGTCAAACTGTTCTTCGTTGTCAATTGCTCTGGCAGCTGCCTCAGTCAAGATGCTGAGGTTGGTAGCAATTGAGATATCGAACAGAAAACCATACTGCTGCAGAGAGAACCTGTGCATAAGAGAGCTCAAAATATCTTGATACAAGATATTCTCAAATATTTCCGCAAGAGAGTTTAAAACGCTAATTTGCCTGTAGTTGTCAACGAGAGAATTATTGCCTGTTTTGAGGACTGGAGTAACCAAAGCTTATTTAAGAGTGTCTAGAAATGTGTTTGTTTTCAGACACAGATTAAAAATAGTTTGTAATGCAGTGCACAGGATATTAGAACAACCTTTGTATATGTATGAGAGAATATTATCATTGCCAGTGGCCTTTTTTGGTTTTAACTTCTTAATGGCTGCCTGTATTTGTACTTCTGAGATAGGAGAGAATGAGAAGTTACCATTACAAACGTCAAAGTTAGGTTTTTTGGATTGTTGGAACACAGAGCTAAAATGCCGAGCAAATGTATAATCTACTTCCTGGGCACCGCCAATAGTACATCCTTTATAGCATACCTCAGCAGGGATACCAGGTCCAGAATGCCTAGACCTGACAAAGTCTCAAAAGCTGTTTGGATCAGTTTTTAAATTTTTTTCATGATAGGCTTGTAGTTCATTTATAGTCTGATATTTGATTCTCATTATATTCATTCCTTACCTGAAAGCTAGCGTTGCGCTCTTTAATTTGTTTGTGAATGCGTTCCTTTAATTTAATATTTTTCTTTAGTTCTTGTGAAAAGTATATTGGATTACTTTGGGCATTTGAAGTGCATTTTTTAATTTTCCTTTTACGTATTGCCAGGTCCAAACGGTCATAAACCTTTTGGTAGAACGTATCGGTGCGCTTGTCTACATTTGAGGTTGTTTCAAGTTCTGCCCAATTAACATCGCTCAATAATCCGGAGAGCAGATAGAAATCACCCCTTGAATAATCATAGACATATTCATTCTACTGTTATTTTGATTCAATCTGTGAATTATACAGGGTGGCGCAGAGGAGACGTATGTTTTCTGAGTTAATAGTATTTCGCAAAGAGAAGTGGGTTGACCTTGCCTCACCGCCAGCAGAGAACACAGGCAATGCAGTTTTAGCCATGGGACCGTGGACAACTGCATCGTGTGTTTGCCGTCGAGCAGTTTTTGAACATGTGATTTCCCGTTTCGGCGATGTTCCTTTTTATTTTAGATGTTGTATGGGGCGGTATGTTATAACAACTATCATTGTGTAGTGTTAGTTGTCGAAGTGATGCCAGTTTCTCTAATTCACTAAACAAATACCTAGGGGATTTATATTTTAGAATTTTGTAACGCATGGTAGCATAGAAAAGAATTGAGCAATATGGTAATCTTAAAACATTTTCTCTGATATAATATCCAGCAACGTGGTCCTGTCGGTATATATCGCTGTGACAAAACCTCATACAACAGTTTTGAAGAATTTGAATTCTCTGCTTCATTTCCTCTGTTAGAAAATTATAATAAACTGTAATTTCATAATATGGATGTGTTAGAATAAGTGACTTAACAAGTCTTGCTTTAATATGACTTGGCATTCAATTCTTGTATCTCCTGAGATATTTACGAGTAAAATAACATACTCCAAGTTTACCTAGGACATGACCCTCAAAACATAAATTACTTTCTAACATTAGTCCTAAGCTTTTAGTTTCGTCCAATAATAGTTCCATCTAAAACTATATCTGTATTAAGTACTTGTTTAGGAGGGGTTAAGTTTTAAGCAGGAATTTCTTGAATAGTTTGCGATAATCGTTAAATTCATATTGAGGTCCATTATCCGAGACTTTATGTTATCTGGTCTACATACTTCATAAGTTTGGACGTCATTCGCATATAAATATATGCTTCAATCAGATGTTATAAAATCTATTAGATATGAAGTGTAGAAACTAAACAGTATAGGACCTAAAGCACTTCCTTGTGGAGCACCTGATTTTACATCTCGTATTGTTACACACTGGGAACTGTCATTCAGACAGTTGATGAACCATTGCAAGGCATTGCCAGACAAACCACAGGGTTGTAATTTTCTACATGTAGTACTGTGATTAACCATGTCAAATACCTTGCTATAGTCTAACATCACCATGGGTGTAACCATTTTATCATCCATAGATTTGACTATATCGCTTGTAATTTTCATAACTGCTGTCGACGTGTTATGTAGCTTCCTGAAATCGGACTGTATGTCAGGGAGTATTTTATTCACTTCTAGATGTTCTCGTAGCTCGACATCCACAATTTTTTCTAATAATTTTGGCATAGTAGGTAAAACACTTATTGGCCTAGAGACTCCAGTATCGCCGGCTTTTGGAAGAGGTGTTGTTACTGACTTTTTGCATAACGTCTGTACTTCTCCCGTATCCAGTAATTGGTTGTTGATTTCGGTAATTTGTTGTATACAAAAAGGAAATACGTTTTTCAGCATCCTTGTAACCAGCTGCGTTTGGCCTCACTTGATTCGTTTTTTTTTTCAATTTTGTCTGTTGTTACACGACAGAATGAAGATCTAGATACAGTGGTTTGTTTCTGTCCTGAAAATCTATTAGGAAACAAATAATATATGTGCCCTTTCTGCTAAATTGTCGTTAAGCCCTTTCAATTAGAAATACTGCCAATAACGAATCAATTTTTGCTCCCCTTTAAACACTAATTGAATTTTATTGCTGTCCATTTCGTGCTTTTATTTTTTGATTTGCCTTAACCCCCATCGACAGTAGCACATAAAACAGTAAAATTTCGTTTTAAGCCTGTAAGAGCTTTTCGATGCATTCTAATGTAGCGTCTAAGGTAGCATGTACGAGGTTCGAGAGATTTACGGCAAGAGCCAGAACGGTGGCTGGCAGGCTTAGCCCGTGGGGCATCATAGAAGAGAGCCCGAAGGAACAAAGTCTGTTTGCATAGCGGTAGCAAATGATCAGGTCATCAGCCGCCTATAGCCGTCGGTAACTCACAGAAATTTCGAATGGGAGCTCGTAAGTAATAGTTAAAAATGAAAAACCATGAAAGAATACACTCGTTGATAGATCATATGGAAGTGATAAAATATATAAACAAAATGCTATTAGCATTAGCTGAATTGCGAGTGGTACATGAATGATTTATGAGTACCTAATTTAGTGTCCAAAAATATGATGCTTATTCAAACAAACTTCAATTACTCATGTGATTGTAATGATGTTTGACGTGTGAAAAGTTGAAAAACAGAAATCTGTTCCTCCTGCTTGCGTTATTCGATTTTGAGCAGATAGCATGAATATTGCAAATAGATTATTCAAATATGGTCGTTTTTGGAAAAATATAGCAAACACGAATACGCTACACCAAGTGAAGTGCCAGCATATATCTTTACGGCTTAAGGTTCTATTTATATTTACCAGCAATGATGATGAAAAAATAAATAAACTACTCGATTTTACAAAGCCGCGTGCCTCAACCTCACCACTCTCTGAAATCATTGATGAGAGCTCGCCTTTGATGTCCCTCTACGCAAGTGACAAGTATGCTTAATGATTGGTAATTTATAAATAACTAGAGAATACACGGCAACTTTAGGAGCATTCAGTAATACAGGCATAAAAGTGAAAATTCTGTTGAGAATTCATCTTTCTGCGGAGAAGTCTTATCGTAATATGAAGCTAACAATTTACTTAACCAGATCAATATCAGCTGTGGCAATAATCTTCCCTACTACGAGGGATGTCTTGCATATGGAAATAAAACAACACGGTAGGTGGTCTTAAATGACTTTATTGTTTTTCGAAGTATTCTCTACGAATATTAATACACATCTGCATGCGCTCGAACCAATTTTCGAAGCACTTATTCCACTCGTTTGCCGGCAGATCCAAAACGGCATTTTTGAATGGGTCAACGGCTTCTTCTGGCGACTGGAACCTTTGACCACGCAGACTGTTTTTAATTTTCGGGAAAGCAAAGAAATCGTTAGGACTTAGATCGAGACTATATGGAGGATGGTCCAATAATTCTACGTTTTGTTCCGTTAAATACTGCCTTGTTTTTTGGGCTGTGTACGAGCTTGCATTGTCTTGGTGGACGATGATTCTCCTTTCGGGGTTGATTTTTCGAAGCTCTGTGATGACTTTTGGCAAACAAATGGTCGTTTACCAATCCGCAGTAACAGTTCTTTGCTCATTAAGAGGAAATGTTGCAATATGGCCCGCTTTTGACACAAATGTCGCGACCATCTTTTTCGACACACTTCGAGAACGGATGATGACTTTTGTTGGTTTTTCTTCACCTTGAAACACCCAAACAGCCGACTGCCGGTTATTTTCTGGTTCATAACAGTAGATCCACGATTCATCACCAATAACGATGCTGTACACATTTTTTCAGTTTCGGGAATTGAAAGCGTTTTTTGACACCAATTAACCCTGGCTGCTTTCTGCTCTTCAGTCAGCAGGTGGGGTATCCAACGAGAAACTAATTTTCTGACTCCTAATTCTTCATGTATTTTTTTTAAATTGAGGTCTTTGAGATCTTCAAGGATGCCTGAATCTTGCGACATGTCACAAGTCTATCTTCAAGTATGAGTTTGCGCACAGCATCGACGTTTTCCTGGGTGACTGCCATTTATGGTGCACCCATCCTGGGATCGTCGCTAAGACTCACCCGTCCACGTTTGAATTCTCCATACCAACGGGAAATTTTCGACTGATGTGGCGCTTCGTTGCCGAAAACAGACAGTAACTCAGCAAGACATTCTTGTTGCGATAATTGTCTCTGAAGGTTGTAATAAATTATGTCGCGAAAATGTTCTCGGTTGAGTTCCATTTGGCTTGGTGACACTTAAAAATTCACTGTAGTGAGAACACTGCACGTATTGTTGTGAAACTTTGAATTTAAGTTTACCAAATAATGACTTTAAGATTCAGTACCGACGTTCGATCCGCGCGGCCTACTATGTTTCTATATGCAAAACTT